ACTTCCACCTCCTGAGCCTCTCTCAGACAGCTTGTCCTATTCTCAAACACCTCTTGGCCAGGGAGGAATGCCCCTTTCGTTTGTCTCCCCCTGAGAAGCCATTCCTGTGTCTGCCAACTCCTGGGGTCCTGCCTGTTACCTCCCAATGGAGGGTTTTTTGGGGGAGTGGTCCCCGTCTGGGGGGCCTCTCCAGCCAGTACTCCAGGTCTCCCTATCCCCACTCCTGCCATTTTGATAGTATAATCTATTTTTAAACGGGACTTTTCAACAAGGGAGAGGGCGTCTCTTCCTATATTGAGATGGGGTGGGTGGGAAGGAAGGGATTGGGGGGAATCTTCCTGCCACCCCCAAGTGTTTATTTTTGATACCAAACGTGTATTTTCAGCTCCCTCCCAGCCCCCCATTTTCCTGCGGGCGGGTACAAAGGACCCTTTAAGTGTCCCTGGAGTTGGGAGGGAGAAAAGGGGGACATTAAAGCCTGTCCTATCTGAATTCCAAGCTGGAGAGGGTGGGTCCACAGGACTCCTGGGCTCACCTCCTGTCAGCATCGGCCCCACCTGGGCCTGGGGACCTGGGGGTTGGTGATTTGGGGGACGGTGCTACACCTGTCTCCATTGTTTGTTTCACTTCCCCAAAATATGGATCTTTTTTTCTAAGAGTCCCAGAGAATGGGGAATTGTTCCTGTAAATATATATTTTTAAAGGTGATACTAGAGACTGCTAGCATTTTTTTTCCCCTTGAAATTGTTGGGAAGGTGTGGCTGTGAGACTGATTGTGAAAGAGAGAGAACATGATGGAATGTCTAAGAAACAGTAGTAGAAACTGCATGTTAGTAGCCGGGTGTGTAAAAGAGAGAAAATGGAAAGCTGGGAAGGTGTATGACATTGAGTGTGAGCGAGTGGAAGCTGACAAACACGACATTGTGACAATGTGAGAAATCGTGGCTCGATGTCAGGAAATCACTGTAGGGCTGAATGAGCGGTTAAGGTACTGATAAGAAAATGGTGGCATGTGTTTGAAATCATGTTTATGAGAAGGCGTTAGGGACAGCAAATTCGTCTCTGTTCTACAGGCTGAGAATGAGCAAAACGACTGAATGACTAAAAATAATGTGTGAGAGCCTCCATGGACATGAAAGTGTGGTAGAGATGGTCAGAGACCATGTGGAAGTGAGAAGTATAACTGTATGTAAACAGGTGATTCTGTTTGAATCATGACACTTCCTGCCCGGCTGCTGTATCAACAGAAGTGACTGGATTGTATGTGTGAAAAGTTGATTGTCTGACAGCAGGTGGCTGTGAGGGCAAGATACAAGAATGCATGATTATATGTGTGAAAAGTTATTATGGGAGACTAGTAATGATTAGGAAAAAATGGCTTTGACTGGAAGGACAAGAGAGGCTGTAATTGTGTGTGTGTCCCTGAGACTAATGACAAAATGATTTAGAGTTACTATTAGAGTATAGCCCACAGGTTCAGGGGCTGTGAAAGTGTGAGAGAAACATGGTGAGAATGAGTGACTGAAACAGTTTTAGAGGTCAGGTAACTGTGACTGAGAGACTATAAATACCAATAACAAAGTCAGCTGTGTGAGAGAAAATGGACCACTGAGCACTGTGTGAGTGTGTGGGTCTGCAAAACATATCACTGGAGGCTGTATGTCAGAGACTGATGTTTGTGAGAGACACAGAGACCATGTGTTAGTGTGTGCAAGAAACCGACGTGGCTGTAATCATTTTTGATAAAACTATGTAAAGAAAATGACCGTGTGGACAACTGAGATGGACTCTGAGACATTATGTATGGAACTTGTTAAGCGCCTAGTAGCAGTTGTGAATCGTGGATAGCAAAAGATGACAGAGACAAAATGATGGTGACCGTGCATGGGTGACTGAGCATGTGTCTGAGAAATGTATCGTGTGGGTATGTGTAAAGCTTTTGCAAGAGATTTTATTCAAGTTTGCACATCAAGGAGCAGCTATGTTGGAAGCTACTTGAGAAGAACTATGAGACTAGGTGTCTGTGGCAGTGTGTGAGTGGCTGTGCCTGAGTGTGACGCTCTTAGCTATAACCAGGGACTGTGGGTGTGTGAAATGGGGGCTGGAGTGAAAAGAGGTAGGATAGATGGTGATTGTGTGTGTGTGGTAAATTTCATGAGAGGTTAGTGGTGGCTTTAACTCAGGGACTCTTGGAGTTTGTGAGAAAATGATGGCCTGACTGAGTGATTGAAACATCAAAGGGTGTGACCGTGTATATGTAAAATGCTAGTGAGAGTAAATGCCGGTGGTATTTGCCGAATGAGGCAGGCTCTACAACATGATTGTGTGTGCGAAACTGTTACTAGGAGACTGCGCAAAGACCAGGAGTTAATGGCATAGAAAATACGCCTAGTAAGTGGTGGAGGGGTGTCGGAGAGGCTGTTGCAAGCAGGTATGTGAACCTCTTGCTAAGAGATAATAGCAGAGGCTGTAAATCCAGAACTGTGTGTGTAACTGTGAAAGAAACGAAACACCGAGACCGAGTAAGAGACCACGGGTCAAATAGGCCTGGCCTAGAGGAAAGCCCTCTTCCTTGTCCTCTTCTCCCCACAGGCCCTTCCTCTTTGGTCCCCTGGGCTGGCTTTTCCCAGTTCTCCAAAACTTGAAATGCTGGAATTCCCCTGAACTTTGCCTTAGGCTTCTTCCCTCTTTAAGACATTGACTATCCCCCTCCTTCTCACAGTGGTGCCCATATTTTCACCTCTAACCCAGACTGTTCCTTTTGGCCCTTACCAGAATCTCTAAAGTTTCATTTATTTTATCTATTCACTCAGCACATGTTTACTGAGCACTTACTGTTTGCTCGGGCCCAGGTACACCCTGCCGACATGGCAGTTCAAAAACCAGACAAAAATCCCTGCCTTCATGGAACTGGTATTTTAGGGAGGGCAACAGTCAACAAACAGTAATACATCATATCAGGTGGCAGCAGCCCCATTAAATAAGACAAGACTCTCCCAGGCTTTGTTCAAATAAGAAACTTGCAGAGTCGTTTTATTGCCCAAATGTGCGGGAGAAGAGGAACACGCAATGCTCTTCCACAGGGAATCCAATGAGTATTTATACAATTTAGGAACAAAGAAAATATCATTGATAACATTATTACCAGGAAACATAACTAGATAAAGCAGCCATGTAGAATTACAGATTTCTTGGGAAGTTCATTTTCACAAGATAACACAGCGCTGGTGTTTGAAGTCTTAGAATCAACAAGACCCCTTTGTTCAAAGCATACTCTCAAAAACAGGCTTATATTATCAGGAAACAAAATACATCTGTAATGGATACCAATGTCAACACACCTTATATCAATAAAAACAATACCAACGTTCTTGGGAAAGTTGTTTTAACACTTGACCGAATCAAATTCTTTGGTCTTGTTTTAATTTGCAGGATGTTATTTCTCCCTCCATGAATTTAGGGGACTTCTCTTTTTCAGACTACTACTTGTAAATTAAATGATTCCTACTTTTAAAGCAGGCTCTGGAATTTCACTCATTAGGGCTTATTTAAAAAAGAAACAAAATAGGTCTGCAGAGCTCAGTCTTAACTGCATGCTGAATTAAGAGTAAAATAAGGATTACACAGAAATGTTTTTCCAGGTGAGACCTACAAAGAAAAGTAGAGACAGTGTCTTACAGGGTGGTCGGCGGCCAGCAGCAGCTGACATGTTCCTGGGGGCTTGTTAGAAGTGCGTGTTCTTGAGCCCCACCCAAGACACAAAATGAGAAGTGGCTGGGGCCCTGCAACCCTTCGTGTAACTAACCTCCCAGGTGATGCACACTGATCTTTGAGAGCCACTGGGTGATGGGATGGCATCTGAAAGAAGGGTCGGGAGGCCTCTGTCGGCCACTTTTCTGTCTCCTATTTTAAATCAAAAGCCCCTTAAGGACCATGATTTGGGATTGTCTTCTTGTTCTCTGCTCCACCCAATGCCGAGAGGAGATTCTGGCGCCAAGGGTGCTCAGTAACTGCTGAATAAATGTAGTTAGCAAACACAGAGGATCCCCTCCATGCCAGACTCTGCACTAGTGACTTTATTTTTTTGATTTCTTTAGGCATACAAAAACTGGGGTACAGGCCAGAGGTGCAGGGGCTGAGAGGATTCACCAGACAGAGTGGGGAGCAGAACAGGCAGATCAACTGAAATACACTGCTGAGGGGAAGCAGTGGGCGGGACAGGAGAGGTCTGCCACACCTGCACTAGGGTCTTTTTTGAAAAGTTTTGCTCTCAGTCTTCCCAACAAGCACTGTGATATAGGTTCAAGGAGGGAGGTGTCATCTTCAAGTTACTCTGATGAAACATCGCCAAGTGGATTCTGCTCAACCCACTCTAGCAGGGCCCTGATGTATCTCCAGCTGGGACAGGACAGTGGGTAACCCCAATTCGCTCTATCTTCCCCACACTCTGGTCACTTCCCTTTCTCACTTCCCTATGCTGCCTTTCCCTCCATGTGCTGACCGCAGGGAACTTCACTCAGGCAAAAGAAGGGCAGCAGTTAGGTCAGAATAGAAAATGAAGCAATTACCTCAATGCCTGCTCCACCCTACAAGGGGGTACACGCCACATTTCCTTCACCCTTGTTCAGAATCCCCACGAGGTGTACCCTATCCCTGTGGTAGAGATTATGCATTTTACAGGTGGAAAAACTAAGGCTGAGAGAGGTGAAAGTGATTTGCTCGAGGTCAGCCAGCTCCAAAGGCCTCTGCTCCATTTTCCCTCAGTAAGATTTGTCCAAGGAGCGTTGATTGAGTGCTGAAGAGTTGCTGAGCAGAGTACAGGGTGCTGGGGATACAGTGACAAACAAAACAGACCAAGAGTGAGCGGGAAGTAGGCGGCTCAGGAGCAAAGGTGACAGGAGAGGTGAGAGCTAAAGAGACCTGCACAGTGCCCTCCCCTCCCCCCTTGCCTGACCTCAGCCTCCCAGTTCCTCCTGCCACCCCCCCCCCTGCTGGTTCCTCTTTCCCACTAATTCCGGTGCAGGTCAAGCCTTAGAAAGCCAGGCGAGGCTACAGAGAACAGTTCTCAATATGCCCTCCCAAGCACAGGTCGAGGTCCAGGGGTCGCTTCTGCTGCCGCTGCTGCTCCTGCTGCTGCTCACATTACCAGCCACGGGTGAGTGAGTGGGGGCCCCCGCTGACCGCAGGGGTGCCCATCACTACCACATCCCTAACCACTTATCCCCCTTGCCCTGTTACAGGTTTGGATCCTGTACTCTGCTTCAGGAGCTATGAGGAATCCTCGGGCAAGTGCAAGGACCCCCTGGGGGATGGCGTCAGTGTTGAAAACTGCTGTCTCAACACTGCCTATGCCTTCCAGGAGCCCAGCAGCAAGCTCTGCCAAGCGTGCAGGTTAGGGGGAGCCTGGGCTTGGGGGCAGACTAAAGGGACTGGAAGGCAAGCAGAACTGGGCTCGTTCCTTCTCTGTGACCTCCCAGAGTAGCTCCAAGGCCACGGTCATGATTCCAGCTCAGGGTTTCTCAGCCTCAAATTTATTGACATTTGGGGCCAGAAAATTCTATGTTGCTGCGGGGTGGGGGGTGACAGGACACTAACCTGTACATTGCAAGATGTGTTGTAATATCCCTGGATTCCCATTAGATGCCAGGAGCATCTGCCTCCTTCCCCTAACCCAGCTGCCACAAACAAAAATGCTTGTGGACATTACCGAATGTGCCCCGCTGTACAAAATGCCCCCTGCCAAGTTGAGGACAGAGATAGAGCACTTGCAGTTTATCAAGCACTGTGGATGCGTGCAGCTCAGGTATCACTATCGTGTGCTTACTGTGTGCAGACTTATTGAGGGGTGGGAGAATTTGGGGAATTCAGAGGGCAGCTCCAGGCCCCTAATACTGATGATACATCATGTTCATTGGCACTTCCACATACCAGATGCGTCGCTGGGGTGGGGGCCAGCCGGAGGACTTCCAAGGGGAGCTCTGGTTCTTCATCATGATGCCAGCTTACGTGTACTGAGCCCCTTCTCTATACGTGGTATATTTCCTAACTGCTTACTGAGTATCCCAGATACACTGTAGGGAGGGCCCTGCTTGGGTCAGCAGTTCACCTCCAAAGCCTTATGCTGTGTAGAGGCTGCGAGTAGATCTGGCATCTGGGGTATTTCTGAAGAGCTCGCTGAGCTCATTGGGATGATGGCTTCTATTTCTTTTCTTTTTTTTTTTTAAGATTTCCTTATTTATGGATTCAGAACTGGGGTACAGGTCAGAGGTGCAGGGTCAGTGAGAGGACTCACCAGAGTCAGAGTGGGGAGCAGAACAGGCAGATCGATGAAGTACACTGCTGAGGGGAGCAGCAAGCGAGACAGGAGAGGTCTGCTGTGCCATGTGGATCATTTCCAAGCTGGGGATCCAACTCGCACTGAAGCGGCTGAGGCCAGCTTTCCAGTGCTGCACGTTAACCTCTTGCACCAGCAGGGAAGGCCCACTTCTATTTATGAAGGACTTTCTGTTTGCCTACTACTGTGCACCGCAGTGGCCTGGTACATTTCTGACAGCTGTTCTGAACTCCCAGTGTTCACACTTGTGTGCCTGGCAATGTCCTGGGGCCTTCAAAGGGTAGCTCCTCATCGTAAAGGTAAACGACATTTATTTAGCACTTACTATGCACCACCCTCTTCCCATTTAGTCCTCCAACACCCCTAAGAAAGGTCTCACCAGTCCATTCCACATTCACTTACCCTGAGCCCTGCACACCTGCCCACCCTTGCCATCCCATGCAGCATCTCGCCAGCTCTCACCGGATGGGCCACAATGCATTCCTCTCTGCAGGTCTCCACATTGGTCACCGTGGTCTGCGTGGGCCCCCTGCTCAGTGACCTGCACTGAAGGCTCCCAGCTGCGGCACCGGCGCTGCATAGGCTGGGGTGGGCACTGCTCAGAAAATGTGGCACCTGGGACCCTCGAATGGCAGCTTCAGGCCTGCGAGGACCAGCCATGTTGTCCCGGTGAGGGGGATCAGCACAGCGGGCAAGGGCTGCTCCCCACCCAGCGCTGGGATCAGGGCAGAGGCCCAGAGGGTGGGATGTGCCTGGCGTTTTTGAGGTGCCAAAGGAGAAGCTGGTATGACTGAAGGAAGGTGGTGGGAGATGAGATCAGAGGGCTGGACCTGGTGTGCTGCGGTGACTAGGTAGTGGCCAGAGGAGGAATATAATCTGACTCGCGTTCTAACTGCTCCCTCTTCCTGTCAGGATGACAGATTGTGTGTGAGGGGTGAAGCAAAAGTCCAGATAAGCGATGATGGTGAACCAGGTGTGGTGGAGGACAGGATTAATTGATGTGATGGAAATGAGGAGAGAGAAACCCCATTGACTCCCACACCTTCATCCAATATCCCTCTTTTCCCCCACAGAAATGGGTGGTTGGTCTGACTGGGGGCCCTGGGCACCTTGTTCTGTCACCTGCTCCAGAGGGACCCGAACCCGTCGTCGTGTGTGTGATCACCCCACCCCCAAATGTGGGGGACACTGCCCAGGAGAAGCACAGGAGTCAGAGGCCTGTGACACCAAGAGGGTGTGCCCGAGTGAGTGAGGGCAGCCATAAAGCACTGATGTGGGTGCCCAGGGTGGTGCCGGGGGTTCACAGCTGGGAACTGTCGGGATAGGAGGACTTTGACACATGTGACCACACTTGGCATATCCCCGCCCCATCACAGCACATGGGGCCTGGGCTGTTTGGGGCCCCTGGGGCCCCTGCTCAGGCTCCTGCCACAGTGGAACCCAGAGGACTGTGGAGACACGGAGCCGCACCTGTTCTGCACCGAAGCCGTCCACAGAGCCTCCTGGGAAGCCCTGCCCAGGGTCAGCCTATGAACAGCGAGGCTGCACTGGCCTGCCGCCCTGCCCAGGTACACAGAAGGGAGTCCTGTGACATGCAGCTTTTGATCTGGGCACACATTCTCTGCCCGGTGACTGGAGCTCTTTATTTGGCAGTAGTCTGCCTTGAGGGTCTAGGGGCTGGGCTAATGGTGAGGATCAAGATGACCTTTCTCTTAATTCCTTTCCCTCCCCAACAGTGGCTGGAGGCTGGGGACCTTGGGGTTCTGGGAGTGGCTGCTCTGTGACCTGCGGCTTGGGCCAGACCCAAGAAAAACGAGCGTGTGATCACCCTGCACCTCAGCATGGGGGCCCCTTATGTGTCGGTGCTTCCTCCCGGACTCACATCTGCAATACAGCTGTGCCCTGCCCTGGTCAGCACCTCCACATGCGCCGTTTCCATGCCCTGCTCTCCTCTACTGTCCAGTTCTGCTGCCAGCACCTTGTTCCTGCTTCTGCTTTGTCCATTCCTAGCCCTGATGCCTTGGTTCTGCCTCTGACCCCCCACTCACACCTCCTTCCCCAGTCCTCATTCATTTCTCTGAGCCCCCTCCTTGGCTCCCTGCTTTAGTGTGAGCCCCTGTTCCCCTTGTCTCTGCAGTGGACGGAGAGTGGGGGCCTTGGGCACAGTGGAGCATCTGTAGCCGCCCGGGCATAAAACACATAAGCTGTCAGGAAATCCAGGGCCAACAGTCTCGCTCCAGGAGCTGCAAGGGCCGCAAGTTTGATGGGCAGCGATGTACTGGGAAGCTGCAGGATATCCGGAACTGCTACAACATCCAGCACTGCCGCTGTGAGTGCCCCAGGGCCGGCCCATACCAACACAGCAGTTTTCTTTCTCTGCTGTGGACCCATGCCCTGAAGCCTTTCTTTCACCACCTCACTGAGACTGCTAATGCTGACTCTAACCCGCTCTTCTCCTTGCAGGGAAAGGCTCGTGGTCAGAGTGGAGTAACTGGGGATTGTGCATGCCCCCTTGTGGACACAACCCTGTCCGCAGCCGTCAACGCCTCTGCATAGCCCCACTCCCCAAGTACTCGTGAGTGAGGGGCCGGTGTGCCTAGGAGGGGGTCATGATACTGCTGTCCGCAGTCAAGGCAGGGGAGTCAGTTGTCTCCAGCCAGAGCTTCTACCACTAGGCCTAGGGTGCCTGCCTTGCTGAGCCAAAAATGCTCCAACTGCAGGAAGAGGGGAGTGATTAAAGAAGCTGAGAAAGGTTTTTTTGGGAGATCTATGTATTATTTAGGCACACAAGAACTGGGGTGCAGGCCAGAGGTGTGGGAGGTGAGGGGATTCACCAGAGCCAGAGTGGGGAGCAGAACAGGCAGAGTGACTAAAGTACACTGCTGAGGGGAGCAGTTCCCTGGCTGGGGATCAAAGTTGAGCTGCAGTGGCTGGCAGCAGCTTGATAGTGCTTTGTTTTTAACCCCTGTGCCACCAGGGAGGCTCCTGAGAAAGAAGATATTGAAGGGAGAATTAGACACTGTACCCCTCAGTCACTCATTTGCTCACTCGGCTGCTCTCCTGTTCACCCAGTCCTTTGTGTGTCCACCTGGCTCTGCTCTCTCCGTCCCTCAGTCATTCATGCCTCCACAGATGATTCCATATCACTTCCCCTCTCACTGGCATGCTAAACCCGTTTTGGCAACAGATGCAGACACATGACACAGTTCCCATGGATCCCCCAGGGGTTCTATGTGGGCAAGGCCTTGAAGGCATATGAGGAATGGTTGGTGCATGGAAAGGGGACTGACTGCTGCCTCAACCAGGGTGCAGGAGGCTAACCCAGTTTCCCTGGACAGGAAGAGCTTGGGGACAGCATTCCATCCAGGACATAGGTGATCAGCTGCCCAACATGCCCCCCCGTCGGCCAGGGCGACCCATGTGTTGGAGAGAATTAAAGCAGTCATCCCTTCTTTATTTCCATATACACCAAACTATGAGATTAAGCGGACAATTTCCAATTCTCGAAGGGCTACCATCTAGGAAGTGGTCTCCAGCTATGGAGTTTAGAGTAGATTCAGAAGATTAGGGGTGTTGAGTGGATGAGGGAATGAAGAATGGGAATGATTGAAAGAATCAGGGTGGAAGTGAAATGAGGGCTTTCTAAGCGGGAGAAATAACCCAGGCAAAGAGCCTTCTGGACATAGGACCAGGCCTGAATTTAGTGGAAGGGAAAGAGGGATTGGCTTGGGACAGAAATTTGGGCTCACGGCCTTATATGCCATGGCAAGGCCCTTGGTTTTTTTTCCAGTGAAAAAAGGGAGCGATGTAAAGAGTTTTGGGGGTAGAAGGCAACTTGTGTCAAATAGCTATTACCAGCACTCGCTGTGTATCAGCCACCAGTTGGAGCACGTTACCAGAATGAACTCATTTGTCCTCACTCAGCCTAGGGAGGTAGGTATTATTGCCACTTCTCAGATGAGGGGAACAGGCCAGTGAAAATACAGAAATTACCCAGTATCTCACAGCTAAAGCAAATAGGCTTGGGCAGTTTGATAAATGTATTCTTGCCTTTCTGAGCTTCTCCCTTCCGTCCTTCCCAACATCCTAGGCTCACCTTAACTACCGTGGAAGGTCAGGATGAGAAGAATGTAACCTTCTGGGGGAAACCATTAACAATGTGTGAGGAGCTGCAGGGGCAGAAGGTGATGGTGGAGGAGAAGCGACCATGTCTACATGTGCCTATCTGCAGAGACCCCGAAGATACGAACCCCTGACACTCCTCTCTTCCACTCTGACTCCCTGACCTCCTAGATCTCAATAAACCAGCCTTTTCCCCCAGGAGTGGGGCAATAGCATCTTCTAGAGCAAAGAGCACAGCATGAGTTAAGGTCACAGTGGACTGTTGGGAAAACCCTTTATTTTTTTAATGTGGCCACAATTTGGAGGCGAGTATCCAGCTCCAGCATCCTTTCTCTGCTGCCTTATCCCCAAAGTCTGCACCCCCTCCCCACCCATAATGCCCTGGGGCCACCCACACGTCCCTCTGCAGAGCTGCCTTATGGGTTTCCTGATTGGCTTACTTATTTGTCTCCCCGCCTCCTAGAGCTCCCTAGGTTCCCACCCACAGGAGCTTCTTGGCTGCTCTTGTCAATCCGCCTGAATGGCAGCAGAGGCGTGGCTGAAGTTGGCATCCCGCTGTGAGAGCACCTGCACCCACCCACTCCCAACAGCCCAATTCCAATGCTGCAATTAGTGGCGACAAATAGCTCCGGGGGTGGGGGGGGAAAGGGGGGGCAGACCGAAGAAGTGCCTATGAGGTGCTCTGTGGTGGAGTGGGCGTTGAGAGAAGCTAAAGTCAGCACTTGCATGGAGGAGCCCTGAGACCAAACCAGACACAGGTTCCTTTAGCATTTGTTCATTCAACACTAATTAGCATCTACTGGATACTACAGCTAAGTCTGGGCATGGGGTGGAGGAGGACCGGTAAAAGCAGAGGACATCTGAGCAAGAGAACAGACTCAGAATGGGTGATCCTTTCACTTGAATGTTTATTTGACACTTATCAACGCCTACTGCATACTAACAATAGTGCTGGACATCACAGGGAACAGAAAAGAGTCAACACACAGCCAAAGGAACAAACCCAGACACTAATGCTCTTAGTATATGCTCATTTATTTAGCGCCAATTAGTACTTACTGAAAACTGGGCCTTGTGTGCTGAACAAATAATAAAAATCATGATTATGCTAATGTTAAGTCTGAGAAAGTACTTGCCCGTGTGCCTTGTAGTATTTTAAGACTTTCCATAGCATAAATTATTTTCATCTACAATGAACCTACACAAGTTCTGTCATTATCCTCACTTCACAAAGGATAACAGGCACAGAAAGACAGTGGGTTAGACATTTCTGAAGCACTTCAAGAGCAAGGTTTAGGACTTCTGCTTTTGTGCGTGGAAGATTTGTGGCACTCAGACGATCAGGGTACTCTTCTCTGGGCCAACTCCCCTGATGTAAAATGGGTTAGTTGATAAGATAAAGCCGGAGAATATTAGGTCATCTTGGGAGGCATGAGTCAAAATGAGGGGTTCTGGTTGCTACTACTGGGTATGAGAGGTACGTTTTAACAAAAATGTGGAAGTTTGGTTGTGGTGTGCATTATGAGCTAGCTATCTATGTATGTGTGGAGTGCAGACCAATGAGTCTGTGCAAGAACTAAAGGTGTGCTGAGTATGTAGAGCATACCTGAAGTTATAATTGTGTGCACCATAGCTATGTGTTAGGCACATGCATATTAAAGTGGCAAGAGTATTATGGGTGTGTTTGTTATGAATGTGGGGACAATGCTGATAGGAGCATGTAGGAGGATGTGTTTCAGAGTTGTGGCTCACCAATGCACAACAAAGTCATTCTTGGTGTCCTTTCTATACACTCATTCCTGCTGGGGAAGATGGGGACAGTACTGGGAAGGCTTATCTTTTTCCAGTGAAAAAGTGAGGAGTTTAGACACTCCTGGGGGGAATTCTCACTCTTCTGCAAAGCAGTCCACAAAAAAATGTCTGGAAATCGAGTCACCTGGAGAAAGGGAGTGACACTTGGAACTACCAATACTAGGAACCTGGGAACAGAGCCCTTGGGAAGAGATAGTCTGGTAGATTCCTGAGGAACCCAACTTCTGGTGCCTAGAGCAGCCAGAAGTCTGTACTTGCAGCTGCTCCTGTCCCCCAGAGAGGGCACCATGGATCCAGCACAGCTTGTTTGCTTCAGTTACTGAGCAAAAAACTAGAGAGTACGTAGTTTGAAATGTTGTCAAATACTGGTTTTGTGAGGAATATTAGGACATGGAATGCCAGAGAGGACATCCAGGAGAGAGGGGTAAGGAGTAGCCAAGGCAAAGGCCTGGAGGTGGGACTGAAGCTCACTGTGGCAGAGGAAGGCATAGAGGATGTCTTGAAAATATTTGTCTTAGGAACTGTGGGAACCTAGGGGGAGAGGGAGTGAAATCTGAGTCCTAGGAGAGAGGATTTCCTGCAGACTTTGGGCAAAGATCATCCTTAGAAGAGAGGAAAAGAATTCTTCAGAAACTCCAGTACATTCAAAGACAGGGGGTGACTCCCCTTCACCTCTGTAGGGGTGGATCAGGTGATCATTTCTATGGATGAAGTAAGCCAAGGCTCAGAGAGGTTGAGTTACTTCCCCAGTGCCATGATGGAGCCTGAATCTGAACTCAGGCACTCTGACTTCAGACCCCACACTATTTTTGCCTTGTTTAAACAGGTCAATTGCTTAATGAATGAAGAATGAATAAATAATTGATAGTTTATCTGAAAATCCTGCAGGTAGATGAGATTCCAAATCTGCCTGCTTCTTGCTTTATCTTCTTCCACCTCACTTGCTCCATTATCATCTCTCACCACAGCCCACAAGGCCCTACTCAGTCTATTCCCAGCTAACATGTCTGATCCAATCTGCCACAATCCTCACTTTGTTTCAGCCACACTGGCACTACTCCTGGCAATTCTTAAAAAAAAAAAAAAGCATGAATCACAAAGTGAACATAACCCTTTGGGAATGAAATTGGAGTTCTCAGATTTTCTCATCTGTAAAATGAAAATGATATTACCTGCCCAATAGTATTATCATGAAGGTTGATGGGACAATATTTATAAACAGCTTAGTCAAGTATTAGGTACTGTCAGCAAATGATTGCTTTTAAAGAAGTAAGTGCTTTAATTGGGGTCAGAATCTTATAGTGGATGAGAGGATGGCTTCACAGACCACGCTGCCTGGACTGTAAAAGTCACTCACACATGTAGCAAATGTTTGGCACCTGCTGCGTGCATACCCTTGGACAGTTGTCCCTCTGAAAAGTTCTTGGGTGAAGGAGGAGACAAATTTGAGCACTGATAAATGCCAGGTGGTTGTCGGGAGTTTTGGCTGTCCAGGTAAAGGGATAGGGCATATGGATCACATGGTGGGGAGGGGACGGGAGATGGGCACACAGCAAGGCTAGAGCTTTAGGAAATGTGTCTGTGTAGCACCCTAGGTTTGCCCATGATTGTCAGTGGGTATGTGTTCTGTTGGGGTGTACACGTCTGTGTGAGTTTTCCTTGGTTCATGTGTGTTCGTGTAGCTGTGTGCATAAGCAGGCCTATACTGTGTACATGCATGCATGCTCATGTGTGTTACCTGGGCTTATGTGTGTCTAGATGCCTGGATTCTTGTATGTTCTCTGTACATGCCTCTGTTTCCTTACTTGTGTGTCCCCACTTTTGTGTAATTCCCTGTGTGCCTCCAGTCCACCAGCTACGAGAGCAAGGGTGTGTACTCTGCCCAAGTGTTCACCTCTGCCTGTCTTATGCTGTTTTCGCCGCCTCCGCAACTTTCTCTCCACCCAGCCTGTGTGGACGTGAGAGACTGATTTATTTCCCCGCGGGAGACTGATTACCCCGCGGGGTACTGAGTGTGACCTACCCCCCAACCCTCGCTGTGATGGGGTTATTTCTCTAATTCTGTGTCACCGGGTGTGCCCAATTCCCACCCACCCCCCATGCCTTCTGCTGTGAATACCAACACAGGAATCTGAATATCTACCGAGGACTCTGAATGAGTACGAGTGTGAAGACCAGGATGAAGCAGGGTGAGGGCTTGCCTGACCACCCATCCAGACGCTCTGGACAAGCACCCACCCCGCCCCCATTCCCCAAATTGCGCATCCCCAATCCGGGGGAGTGTGGGGGAGAGGGAAACAAGATGCGGCGTGGCGCGTGCGCACTGCCGCCTTCAGCACCGCGGACAGTGCCTTCGCCCCCGCCTGCCGACGCGCGCCACCGCCGCCCCAGCACTGAAGGCGCGCTGACGTCACTGGCCGTTCCTCCGCAAACTCCCCTTCCAGGTCGCCTTGGTCGCGTCCGCGCCGCCGCCGGCCCAGCCGGACTGCACCACGCCAAGCGCCAGATAGGGGGGCACGGGCGCGACCATCCGCGCTGCGGCGGCGGCGACTCAGCGCTGCCTCAGTCTGCAGCGGGCAGCCGAAGAGTCGCGTCGTGCCTGAGAGTGCAGCTGTGCTCCCGGGTCCCGCGCGGTCCGCTCCCGCGGCTCTTGACCTGACTGCTCCTAGGACCCCCTACCCCGCGCCGCAGCCATGAACTACCTGCGGCGCCGCCTGTCGGACAGCAACTTCATGGCCAATCTGCCAAATGGGTATATGACAGACCTGCAGCGCCCGCAGCCGCCCCCGCCGCCTCCTGCTGCCCCCAGCCCCGGAGCCACACCCAGTCCTGCGACCGCCTCTGCCGAGAGGGCCTCCGCGGCCGCCCCTGTGGCCTCTCCAGCTGCCCCAAGCCCCGGGTCCTCGGGGGGTGGAGGCTTCTTCTCTTCGCTGTCCAACGCGGTTAAGCAGACCACAGCAGCTGCAGCCGCCACCTTCAGCGAGCAGGTGGGCGGTGGCTCTGGGGGCGCAGGCCGCGGGGGCGCCGCCGCCAGGGTGCTGCTGGTAATCGACGAGCCCCACACTGACTGGTAAGCCACCGCCATGGACGTCTCTCTGTGCTCCCGGCATCTGGCCCCCCTGCCCCTATACCCTTTACCTTTAAATTATTTTCCTGGGTGCTTTCTGTGTGCTCCGCCCTTGCCCCCCTTCCACCCCTCAACCCCGCTTTCTCTGGGAGCAGTTATCGGGCGCTTGCTGTTTACCTCCTTCCCAAAAGCTTTGGCTTCAATATCTGTTAGCACTTGAGAGCCTGATGTGCCCTGCCTCCCTTCCACCCCCCCCCCCAAGCCCTTGCCCCAAAGACCTTGTCCTCTAATGGATCTTGTAAGCATTTATCAAGTACCTGCAGTGTGTCTCATCAGAGAGCCTCCCCCAAGGCCTTTGGCGTCCATGGATTTTGTGAACATTCATTAAGAGCTTAATGTGTCTCTTGTTCTCCTTAACCCTTGCCCGAAGGCCTTCTCCCGAATAGATATTGTGAGCATGTATCCAGAGTGTGCTGTATGCCCCCCCCCAACCCTCTCTGGAAAGACATTTTAAACTATTCAGTAAACATTGATCTAATACCTTCTATGTGTCCCCTCCCCAAAGACCTATTTCTCCAGAGGAGCTAGGACACATGAAGGGACTGATGTATGCCCCATCCTCAAACCCTTTTCTCAAATATATCATTTTCTGCAAATGAGTTCCATGAGCATATTTGAACCTTTGGTGTGTGACTCATCTTCAGACTCACTCCCCCAAATCCTTT